TTACCAAGTTAACACAAATATCAAACTAAATATATATCTCATGAAAGTAGGGTGCCTGGCTACACAAGTTCTTACAGTTAATATCCCATCTGTATTACTCACATACACTCTACAGTACTGTACCAATTATACTGTACTGTAAGTTCAATTTTGTACTGTGTCCTTCTGTGCCAAGAAACAACAATATTTATTCAGTCATTATACACATTTACAATTACTTTGGCATGTGTACAGTATATTGGTTGCTACTGTAGTACAGTATGTGGTCTACCAAGCTGGTGCTACTATAGTACGTGGTCTACCAAGCTGGTGCTACTATAGTACGCTGTCTACCAAGCTGGTGCTACTATACTGTAGTACGCTGTCTACCAAGCTGGTGCTACTATAGTACGCTGTCTACCAAGCTGGTGCTACTATAGTACGCTGTCTACCAAGCTGGTGCTATAGTACGTGGTCTACCAAGCTGGTGCTACTATAGTACGTGGTCTACCAAGCTGGTGCTACTATAGTACGCTGTCTACCAAGCTGGTGCTATAGTACGCTGTCTACCAAGCTATAGTACGCTGGTTCACTGCTGGTGCTTACTATAGCACGCCGTTCATTGCTGCGCGCGTTACTATATCGTCAAGCTGTTAAGGCTTATAGTGGCTGGTTCATTGCTGCCATTGCTACTGTAGTACGCCGTTCACCAAGCGGTGTGCTACATTATAGTACGTCTACTGTTGGTGCTAATATAGTATCGCCGTTCATCAAAGCTGGTGCGTTACTTAGTAATGCGGGTCTACCAAGCTGGTGCTATAATGCGTGAATCCTACCAAGCTGGTGCTACTATGGTATGGTTCATCGAATTGTTGTAATGCGTTGTCTACCAAGCTGGTGCTATCTCACCAAGCTGCTATAGTGCTACTATAGTACGCTGTCTACCAAGCTAGGTGTCTACTATAGTACGCTGTCTACCAAGCTGTACTATAGTACGCTGTCTACCAAGCTGGTGCTACTATAGTACGTGGTCTACCAAGCTGGTGCTACTATAGTACGTGGTCTACCAAGCTGGTGCTATAGTACGCTGTCTACCAAGCTGGTGCTACTATAGTACGCTGTCTACCAAGCTGGTGCTACTATAGTACGCTGTCTACCAAGCTGGTGCTATAGTACGCTGTCTACCAAGCTGGTGCTACTATAGTACGTGGTCTACCAAGCTGGTGCTACTATAGTACGTGGTCTACCAAGCTGGTGCTATAGTACGCTGTCTACCAAGCTGGTGCTACTATAGTACGCTGTCTACCAAGCTGGTGCTACTATAGTACGCTGTCTACCAAGCTGGTGCTATAGTACGCTGTCTACCAAGCTGGTGCTACTATAGTACGTGGTCTACCGAGCTGGAGTCGTGTCTCATGGATATTCACACTGTAGCGTCCATTAACCTAACCTAAGTTAGGTTAAGATATATTAGATTAAGTTAGGTTGGGTTAATAGACGCTAGTGTAAATATCCTGGTAGACCAACTCCAGTTCGGTAGACTACATACTATAGTAGCACCGTATATTGACTGTGGAGATATGGTATACATTGGTCCCTCGGTTAACGAGCACAATCCGTTCCTGCAGGTTGCTCGTTAACCGAAACCATTGTTTCAATGAGTTTTTGGGTAATTGGTTCCAGCTCACCGAAAATTGCCTAAATTCAACAACAAAAAGTAGAAGAGTACACATACTTTGAGGTGTGTATGTATAAGGCTCCTGAATGATGATGATGATGATGGGAATTAGAATGGGGGTGGAGGAGAAGAGAAGGCATTGGGGTGGCAGGGAAGTCACCTCATGGCGCCATTTCACCCATAAAATTTTAGTTCTCTTGGTGTAATTCAAGATTATTTTCTTTAAATCAACACTGCACTGCATTATATATTGTCAATATGTAAAATAAATTTAAAAATGACCAATAATTTGCTTGCAAACACAGAAAAAAAGCCTTTAGTTGAAGAGAGTCTCAAGCAAGATGTTACCGCCACTGAAAAGACAGAGACTGGCGCCTGTTTGGTGTGTTGCCAGGCTGGCTGGCGTGCATGAAACTAGTTCCTTACCTTCAATTATGTTCAATAATTGTTAAAATGACTAAAAAAATTTAATATTAAACTTTTAAAATTATTGAATAGTATAAACATCTTGATATTTACTAAAATAGTAAGGAATTTAAGCCCTAAAACCAATTACTGTATTGGCGGACTAATACTACAGCTGGTGGACCGCCAAATGCAAGCGAAAACATGTTGAGGTCGGCTCGTAAAAAACTCGTTAATCGAGGGATTGCTCGTTAACAAAAGTTAAGAATTTATGGAAGGTAAATCGTTAACCGAAATCTCGTTAACCGAGGCGCTCGTTGACCGAGGGATCACTGTATACTGGTATACAGTACCCAATGTACCTAGACAGTGCAGATATACATAACAGTAAATAATTCAATAATTTCTCAGAACAGCACTACCACCAGAAGGAGTTGTTCACCTCCCGGCCTGGAAGTTAGGTAGGTTTCATTGGTTGGTTAGGTCAGGTACTATTGTTCTAGTAAATGTCGCCTCTTTTAAAATACTTACTATAATGATAAGAACATATGTGGAAAAATTGAATACATCATTGGTCACGACTGGATGACGTCAGTCAATATTGATCATGTGTGATGTGCCGTTAACATCTCCTCATAGATAAGAAGACTGAAAACTACGTAAAACCAATTAAATCCAATTGCGCCTGGTATATGGGTGATTCAGCAAAGAGTACATTGAAGATGTTGTATTAATGAGAGTGAATTTGATGTGAAACCCCCATAGGTTTTTGTAATCATTTATTCACAGATCTCTACAGTGTGACACCTCTTTGTTACAACCTAAAGGAAATGTTCAAAGTTGCCCTCTTCTGCCTCAATGAAGGCCTGTACACGTCGTACCATTGATTGTCTGACTCGTTCCAGAATGCCTGGACTATGTTTAATTTGCTCACACCTGTCACGAACACATTGGCATATGCAGAATCAGACATTTTACCATAGACACATTGTGGTTTAGAATTATCCAACGATTTCATCCTCCAATTTAATGTACTCTTTGCTGAATCACCCTGTATATGGGATTCAAAATGCTCAGAATAGGGAGATTTAAATGTTTCAGTAGTTTATAACTTTTGGGTGCACTATGTCCCAAAGTAAAATAATACCTTTTATTTTTTGCATATATCACCTGAAGTTTGATCCCCTGGTTAATTTTGCCTGAAGATTAACCTTTCTAATGATATTTGGGGGATTAGGTTTAGGTTAACAATAGAGTGGTTAATCTTACGGTGATCCATATATTCAGTAAATTCATCATATAAACACAATGGCAGACAAGAGGAGTAAGTAGATTTGGTCAATTTGGAGTTCTAGAGTTGAGCAATGTGTTTTTCTGATGGTTTAGACAACTTTAAGAAAACTTCCTATATTTGGCCGTGAGACTGGCAGCATTTGCAATTTATTTCGCCTTAAGTCAATCATTCTGTAGCTATAAACATACTAAACCATATTTCTGTAAAGTACACATTTTAAAAAAAGACAATATTTACTAGAACCTAACCAACCAAAGAAACCTACTTAACCTTACCTAACTTCCTCGCCAGGGGACAGACCCCCTTACTTTTATCCTCTTTACCACTGATTGGCTCATTAGCCGCTTGGGCGATGGGTCACGTCTCTGTTATGCACCGTTGACAAGTACTGGGCATGCACAGGCTCCTGAATGTATCTGAACTTGCTACAGTGCTTGTCAAGTCTGGTCTTGAAAGAGCTCACACTCGGTGTCGTCACAACTCTCTCTGGTGAATTGTTCCAAGAATTCACAACTCTCACTCTAAAAAAGTTATCCCTCACAGTTTTCTGGGCTTGTCGCTTCTTCAACCTTGAGCTGTGACCCCTTGTGGGGCGAGCATTCGCCAGGTCCAGGTAAGGGCACTCGACTGAGTACAGGTTGTGCCCTTTTTGAGATGTTTACACACCTCAGTTAGGTCCCCCCCCCCCTTGCCCGTCTGTGGTAGAAGCTAGGCAATTTCAGGCTCTCTAATCTCCCAGGGTCGGTCCGACTAATTACCCAAATGTAGCCGCAATGAAGTCAAATAATGGTCCTACATGAATAAATCGGACTGCTAATCACTTCTCGACTAGTATTTGGTGTCACAAAGTTACAAAAAATTGGAAAACTCTCTTTAATCTGAGTTGATAGATCGCGTGCATGTACCGAGGGAGCGAGTAATTACCCAAATGTAGCCGCAATGAAGTCAAATGATGGTCGTACAAGCGTAAATCGGGCTGTGAATCACTTCTCGATTATTACTGTATGTGGTGTCATAAAGTAAAAAAAAATTGGTAAACTTAATTTAATCTGAGTTAGGTTAGGTTAGGTTAGATTTTGTACATGCACTTGATCTATTAACTCAGATTAAATTAAGTTTACCAATTTTTTGTGACTTCGTGACACCAAATACTCGTCGAGGTTAGGTTAGGTTAGGTACATGCACTCGATCTATTAACTCAGATTAAATTAAGTTTACCAATTTTTTGTAACTTTGTGACACCAAATACTAGTCGAGAAGTGATTGGTAACCCGATTTATTCATGTAGGACCATTATTTGACTTCATTGCGGCTACATTTGGGTACATTTGGGTAATTAGTCGGACCCCTCAGGGTAGCTGAGGTGCCGTAGTGCAGGCATCAGTCTGGTGGCCCTCCTTTGGTAGGGCCAATCAGAGCACACTCAAGGTAAAATAGCATTAGTAGGAACTTAGCTGGTCACGACAAAACATCCACTACGTTTTTTTAAATCGATTTCTAAGAAAAATCAGCGGCGGGAAAGTAGTCAATAATCACCACAAATTAACCATAGATACCTCCAAGGGTAGCCGAGAAAACTATTAAAAAGCTTACATCATTGAGGTAACCTTTACATCAACAACTGGGTACTGTAACAGTACTCACCTGCCCATTATGCTGCCATCAACAGTCTCAAAGTTGAGGGCGTTGTTTATGGCCTCAAAACCTGAAGATTCTGGAAGAAGCTTCATCTTGACAGCTTCACTTGACAGGAAACAATTTTGAGCACAACGTTTGGAAGTTGAATGAAGAGTAATACTGAATCTTCTTAGTTATTACGTTCCTTTGATATGCATTACAAAAGCTAACTGAACTTCTTGTTTTGTCTCGTAACTTAACCTTCTTAGTTCCTTTATAGGAGATTTACAAGACAGTCAGGTCTCGGAAATCTATTTCGAGTCAAACAGAAAATCCTTCAATTTATAACTTATCTTGTGCGTGAGAAATAAGCCCTTGTTGCTTAACTATCTTACAGACAAACACAAGAATCAAAATATTTCACCTATAACAATTAACAATGTCTTCTCTGAGATATTTTCCAACAACTTAGGTTACGCACAGTCCAAAGGCTTCTGCTACTGAGACTACTCGGTATTAAGGCGACCCTAACAGGGTTGTACACTTCATCTACGACAAAATACTCTTGCCTCGAGATGATCATAATACCACCTGCAGTCAAGAACCCAGAGGAGTTAAAAAGCTTCCCTCCAAACAAGGTGAATTCAGCGGAGCGCAAAATGGATTTTCCTAACCCTTGTCTCCCGTCCGCTTGCTATGAGGTAAATCCCATTTGCTTGTTGCTTGAGCAATGATACGTCTTTACAGAGTTCCAGAACGGGATGTTTAACTTTTCTACACAATTCTGGTAGAGTTTAACGGTAAGTTTTGGTGGTTAAGCGGCGATACTCCCGTCACAAACCATAACACTCCCACTTAGCTCTGTGGTCTTGAGCGTTGTGATGAAGCTGCCTGGCATCACTGTTATTATTGACGCGGGAAAAACTTCGTGCAGGTATAGATTTTTATTTTCTCTTAGGTGTTATAAATTACAATTAGATTGAATATTTTTCTTTATTTTGATCGTAAGTAATTACATCTAATTCCAAAAAATTGGAAAGTATTGGAATATATGGGGGTCCAGTTTATTACTTTTACGTCAGTCAACAAAACATATTGACGTGCGCGAGCGAGTTGCGTTCTTAAAAAATATTTTCCTCAATATACCTTTTCTTCACTGATACTATAAAATTTAACTTACTTTTATTCTCTTCACCACTGATTAGCTCGTTAGCCGCTTGGGCGATCAATGAACAGCCCCTCAGGTTCTATGTCTAAAGTTGTATGTGTTATTAAAAGAAATGTAATAACTGCCAATGAGAACAACTCTGGTATCGAATTTGAGTGGATTCCGTCCCATGCTGGAATTAGTTATCATGACCGTGCTGATAGACTGGCCAATACTTTTACTTTTTACTTTTATCCTCTTCGCCACTGATCGGCTCGATAGCCGCCCGGGCGATCGGTCACGTCTCAGTCACGCACTGTTGGCAAGTACTGGGCATGCACCGGCTCCTCAATGTACCTGAACCCGCTCCAGTGTTGGTCAAGTCTTGTCTTGAAAGAGCTCACACTCGGTGCCGTCACAACACTCTCTGGTAGATTGTTCCAAGAGTTTACAACCCTCACTCCGAAAAAGTTTGCCCTCATGGTTTTCTGGACTTGTGGCTTCTTCAATCTTGAGCTGTGACCCCTTGTGGGGCGAGCGTCCGCCAGCTCCAAGTAAGGACACTCAACTGAGTAGTGCCCCCTGAGATGCTTATACACCTCAACTAGGTCCCGCCTTGCCCGTCTGTAGTATAAGCTAGGCAAGTTCAGGCGCTCCAATCTCTCAGGGTAGTTGAGGTGCCGAAGTGCAGGCACCAGTCTGGTGGCCCTCCTTTGAACATTTTCAACCAACTGACAGTCCCTAGCATATCTCGGGGACCAGATGGGGTGACAGTACTCCAGATGGGGAAGCACTTCACTCCTGAAGATCGTTACGAGGGACGGACCGTCTAGATATCTGAACGACCTTCATATAAGACCCAATAATTTATTTGCCTGATTTACCTTCTTCTCACAATGCCCCGAGAACTTCAGCTCATTGTCAACATACACACCTAGGTCCTTCTCACATACAGCCTCAACTAGTGCAGTTTCTTCATCCCGATGGGACATATGATACGCCTCCTTACCGTTGGTACGCCCCAGGTGCATCCTCTTACACTTCGTGACATTGAATCTCAGCTGCCATTTCTTCGACCATTCCTGGAGCCCACAGAGGTCCTTCTGCAGCTCTTCACAGTCCGCTTGGTTCTTAATTTCCCGAAATAACTTGGCGTCATCGGCAAACATTTGTATGGAGGAGTGTACAACGTCAGGCATGTCATTTATGAAACAAACAAACAACAGCGGGCCCAATACACTGCCCTGTGGTACCCCACTTGTGACAGGTACAGATGACGATTTCGTGCCATTAATCACCACACACTGCTTGTGGTCATGTAGAAAGTCTTCTATCCATTGTTTGGGCCGGGGTTTGATATCAAACGATCTCACTTGTTAACACTTGCCTGAACGAGTGTAGAGTAGTCGCTGGTACCTTTGATGAAGCTGGGTGAGATAATAGGTAGTCTCACGGCGTGTCACCTTTGATACAGAAGTAGTTTTGAGTCGTTGAGTCGTCCAAGCCCACCTGGGTTACACTTGTAATTATCTTAGCTTGTAAGTATACACAAGTGTACACAGGTTCTATTATCTTCATTTGTGGTTCCTTGGTTTAATGTAAACACACGTGGTGATTTTCTAGTTATATTAGATGCTCTGGTAGTTGCAGAATTGTTTGTTGACAGACTACTGAGCATTAGCTATTAGCTTGTAATTAGCTGGTAGAATTAGAGAGAGATACAGCCTTGGGAGCTATGCTCACACACGTCTCTTTGGTACGGTGTCTGGCTGTGAACTGGTGAACTGTGTGAAACTGAACTAGGCGAACCTCTCTCTGTCTCCTTGTAAGAGGGTATGTAATCTATACGTCAACACGGAGATAAGAGGCTACACTCCACAGGCCTACTCTCACGGAGGCCTGGGGACATATATTTATGGGTTGTAACCTGAATCTGTGTGAAACTACAAATGTTTATGTGTGCTGTCCACCCTAGGAGGTGTGACAGAACAAATGCTTATGTAGCTTTATGCTCAATAGTTTGGGTGTTTGAATGTATATAATGAATATATGTCCTTAGCCCATATTTATATAATACTGATTGATAGGGGCTAGAACACCACGCTAGGACATTTCCCCGAATTCCTTACCCTTCCAGTTTGATTTTCAGCCTTTCGTGGGGTACACTGTCGAAAGCCTTGGCAAAATCTAGGTAAATATTGTCGATATTACCACCCCGTTCTAGAATATGGGTCCAAATATACAATACCTTGAGCAATTGTGTTAAACAAGAGCGCCCCGGCATAAAACCGTGTTGGCAATCTTGTTTCGTATTAGATGTTCCATTGCGGAATCTCTGATAATACTCTCAAGTACTTTACATATTATGCTGGTCAGGCTCACCGGTCTATAGTTGTTCGTGGAGTGACGATCGCCCTTCTTGAAGATAGGACTCACATAACCCACTTTCCATACACTGGGGACCATTTCTTCATCCAGGCATTTACAAAACAGGATCTTCAGGGGCTCTGCAAGCTCGTTGCACAACTCTCTTAGCGTTCTAGGATGCACCATGTCAGGGCCGGGACTCTTATGGACCTTCAGCCTGGACAGTTTATTTCTAATACCCTCTTCTGTGAACACAATGTGGGTCAGTACTGTGTCGAACCATCTGTCCTCAAACGCAGGAAGGTTAGTTGCATCCTCTCTTATGAACACTGAGGAAAAGAAGCTGTTCAATGCCTCGGCTTTATCCTGGTCAGAATCTGCGTAACTACCATCCACCAGCCTCAGGTCTGATACTCCTACTCGCGTTTTCAATTTCGACTTTGCATAGCGGTAAAACGCCTTTGGGTTTGACTTGACCTCGCTTGTAACCAGCCTCTGGAACTCCTTTTCAGCCCTCCTACACTCTATCTTTGCTTGGTTTCTGGCTCTTGCATACATCCTCCTGTCTTGCTCATCGTTTGACCCAACCCACGTCTTGAATTTCTGGGTTTTCTTCTTAATTTTGTCGACCGCCGCATGGTTCATGTGTAGTAATCCCTTCGTATTCCTAGAAGCACTGGGTTTGGTCTTGGGTATATATTTATCGATCAAATGGGTCATTTTACTAGTTATGATATTCAACGTAGTGTCTGCGTTCTTGTACCTTAATAAGTCAGGCCAGTTGATACCCCTCATCTCTTCCCTCATCCCGTTATAATTTCCCTTGTAATATTTGCACCTTGGCTTGGCCTTATCTTGAACTAGGTAACAGTTAAATCTGAATGACAACACTGTATGGTGACTGGTGCCAACTGGGGCAAGGTGTTCCAGTTTGGCCACCATACCCTCCTCGTTTGTCATGTTGAGGTCAAGTGGCTTGGGTGTTTGCTCCCCTCTGTAATGTGTCGGGTCTCTTAACGTGTTGGAACAGAAAATTATCTCTCAGAGTTTCTACGAAAAGAGTAGCAGGGTTATTCAAGTCATTCGTGGTGGACTTGTTTCTCCAGTCGATGTCGCCATAGTTAAAGTCCCCCATGATAAGGAGGTGGCTAGGGTTGAGCATCGCCGCGTTGTTTATTAAGGTTCTTAAATTCCTTTGATTTAGTGGGCCACAGTTTGGGGATCTGTAGATACACCCGACGATAAGTAAGTCCCCTCCCTTTAATTTAATTTTACACCACTTGGACTCTTCAAAAGCATCCTCTCCCTGCACTCTCGCCTGGCTGGCTCTAAGGTCTTGCCTAGCATAGATAACCACACCCCTCTTGCAAGTTTCTTGAGATAAGTTCGTAAATGAGTCATATCCAGCGATTCTGAACTCACATTCCTCTGGGTCGATTCTCCTGTTCTTGTACAACAGTTCTACAACACCTACAATATCTGGTTGGTGTACTCTTAGTAGTGTTTCAAACTCCTCTCTCTTATCAAGGAACGTGTCAGTATTAGTGTACATGACATTCAAGCCAGAACTTGTTCTCGGTAACGTCTCTGCTCTTAGCAATAAACCCGCTCCCCCCACATTCTCAGAAGCTGCAGCATTTGCTAAGTACACTGTATTTTGCAGGGTGTGGTTAGAAATGTCATTGTTTACACGGCGCTCACCCCCTGCTGTCCGCTAGGCTGAGCTGGTGCCGCCTCCCGGGTGGGGGGGTTGAGTGGGTGGAGGGTGCACTGCTGCCCCCTGGCCCTTTCTCGGCACACTTGTTTCCACTACCCTCCCCCTGAGTATAACCCATGTACATTGTACACCTGTCCCCGTTCCTCCTCGACTCCTCCCTCTTCTGCTTCAAGTCCTGCAGGAGCTTCTTGTGCTGTTCCCTCTGCATTACCGGCCGGTCTGGGTGAATGAATACATCCCGAAATGCCTCGCTCCTTGCTAAGTTTTTTGCCTGCCGAATAACCTGCCATTTCTCCTCCTCACTCACTAGTGTGATCCTGATGGGGCGAGGCTTAGCCCCCTGCTTTTGTCCCAGCCTCCTCACATCCTGAGGGGTTGATAGAATCTTCAGAACCTCTGTGCAAATATTTTGAAACAGCACCTTATCGTGTGTTTCCTTACTAACAGTTCCCTCCGCCTGGCTCTCTGGGACTCCAAAAACTATTACATTGTTCCTGCGCTGGAGCCGTTCCTGGTGTTCCTCCTCTTCCCTAACAGTAGGTCCGTTAATTTTCATTTCTTTGACACACTTCTTCAAAGTCATAATTTTTTTTAAATATTTTATTTACACAATTTAAAATACATGAATTTACTGCATTAAATATAGAGTATATAATAT